TATACATAATTGTCATTTTAACAGTTAATGCTAAATTTTCTTGGTAGTATACCATAACTCCTGTGAATTTAAAAGGCAATTTTCTTGTAAGTTAATGACTCTAAATTATGGGCATCTTGCATCTGATCATTACCCCAGGAGCAGGAAAAAAGTAATTAAAAAGTAAATTGAGAATGAGATAAGGCACTGGCTGTGTGTGGTTCATTCTCAGTTCTGAAGGCCAAAAATTAATAGGCACTGAGAAAACCTCCTTTGACGTGCACAGCAAATACACTAACCACTTAACCAGTAGGTGGGATGAAACTTTTGCCCAACAGAGACAATAGAGAAGTTGTTTTTCGTTTTTGTTTTTGTTTTACCACGAGCTTCTCCAACAGCACAGGAAAAAATACTAAAAGATGGTGAGTCATACCCACTTCTTAGAGATATTGTCTTTCATCTTATTTTCATTTGCTTGCCTAAGTTGTTCATTTCCAAAAAAGTTTTTTGTTTTTTTTTTAAATGTAAGTGACCATCACAGTTTCCCTCAACCACTATATCCAAGATCTATAAACCCTAATTGGGTTTGCTTTGTGATCAGTACAGGGCAGGTCTCCTTTCTCTATTGGTGCTTAGTAGAATGAAGGGAGTTCAAAACAGAAAGGCGGCTTTTCTTACCTTGCAGAAGCCACAGAGCTTCCTCTGTCAGATCTCAATGTGAAATTTTCATACGTGAATCTGGGCACAGCACCAAAGGTGTTGTAAATTAGTAAGGTCTTATATATAGAAGTGTCCAGGTATTTTTCAGGTTTGGCTTCACAGGCAACTTTCCTGTCATATGCTTGGAGGACAGGTTTATTGGCACAGATCTGGAGTGCCCAAGAGCAGTGATCTCCATACTTCTTAATCTGTGTAAAAGACAATCAGATATTAGAACTCATCCCCTAGTACATGGAGTTGGAAAATGTGGCTTTTTCAACATACTTTATTATTTAAGTATTGAATTTAAAACACTCCCTAGTGTCCCCTTTTTGAAAACTCATAGTAATGATTCAGTGCTATATTTCTCCAAGGTAAATTAAGTGCCCATTCTGGTATGTTGCTTTTGAATAACACCTTGTAAACTAAGGAATGGTTGAACCTTCTGAAAACAGCACTGAGAAAACTGAATAAACCTTTCTCCTGAGGAATACTAGTATATTAGACACACTATAAAATGTAAATGCTTTTTATTTCCAGTCAGTTGCTAGGATCCAAGAGTGCTTCTGCATTCTCTATCATTTTTAATGTGCAATATTCAAGGGGAGTATCCTTTAAAGAGCTCAGAGAAAAGAAAGGTCCTCAGTGGAAGACTGCAACACTCTCAGCAAAGCATCCCAAGTCCTTGCATTAGACCATGCCACCGGGCCAAGGGAGTCTTCCTTTTCTTAACTATTTGTGCAGTGATTTGGGAACTTATGGTGTCATTAAACCTCATCCTGAAGTTTGAGTTGAGAAATAAAGTAAGCTAGTGATTATGATACAGGACCAGGTATCAAAAACCTCAAGAATTCATTGTGACTTTATATAGGTTACTTCCTGGTCTGTGTTTTCTGCATCAATATACTATTCTTGATCCCACAGAACCATTGTAAAATTTAATCAGTGTTTCTTATCGGGCTTATTTCCTTAATGGAAGTTGAACTATAACTTCTCCAGACAGTAACTATTTGAGTCTATCTAAGTCAGCAACCCTAGGTAAAAGATATACCCAAGGAAATAAATTATAATTAGAAGCAAACATTACTCTGACAATATCTGGTTTAATGATTCTTCGTTTGACATGTTTTATATATAATCCTTATTTTAAAAATATATATATTCTTGAGTATCTCACTTAAAGATATTTTTATGATGAAATATCTAATTAAAATTTCTAATATTAAGTAAATTTAGGTACTAATTGAATTATAAGGATTTTAGTGGTTTTTTTTTGAATGGCATTTTCAAAACTAAGTCTTACTTTCACTTTCTTGTAGTTTATTAGAACACAAAATCTTAGAAATGGAAGGAAAGCACAAGGAAGAGTTGGATACCTTAAAGGAAGAGAAAGAGAACCTTCAAAGCTTGGTTACTCGTCAAACATACATCATCCAGGAGCTGGAGAAACAATTAAACAGAGCCACCACCAACAATAGTGTCCTTCAGAAGCAGCAGCTGGAGCTGATGGACACAGTCCACAACCTTGTCAACCTTTGCACTAAAGAAGGTGGTAAGAATTTCTTCCTCACTTTGGTATTGCCAATGTTTTATTTCATATGAGAAAGTAGATACTCAATGCAACTTCCTAGATTGCATTGATTGCTGTGTAATAACAGCAGAACTTCATTCTTAGAAGCATTCATGAAGTTTTATTGACAATTGTCTCATGTGTCTAACTTCAGAGAATGTATTCATAGCTTGAATTTACAAATCCACAATATCTTTCTAAAAGAGCTTTTTAATTGCTTCTTTTAACATTAGATAAAATCCATTATACTGTTGTGGATAAATATTGGGTATTATGATGCTAGACACTTAACCATATAGGACAGAAATTAGCTAATATAAAAGATTAGTTCAGAGTGTAAGGGAGAGTTTCAGGAGGATTCCCATATTAAAACTAATATTTACTGTTTCCTTTTTGGTGGGGGAAGGGGAAGGAAAGTATTGCTTGCAGAGAAAAGGAGACACTGTTCCCAATAGCTATTATGAGTGAGAAAATATCATTATTACTAAAAGTGTTTATTAAGATCACTTGTGCTTGGTGCTGTGCAGGGAAGATTTAACAGGGATATCTAGGCACATTTATTCTGGGGTGTCTTTGTGACAGTGGAAATTATAAAATTTTGATGTCACTAAAACATCTGAAGCCATTTGACCATTGAAAATATCTGCAGGTCTGTATCTCTTTAGAAGACATTCATCTGTCTACCCATCCATCCACCTGACAATTATTGAATGAGTGCCTCTGTGTGCACCTGTCCACTTCATGCAGAACCCCTCCTGAGCCTCAGTATAGCTCTTCAAAGTTTGTAGCTTGAGGTCATCTTCCATAGTTCTACTCTATAATCAACCTTTTTCTGAGTGAAGATGGAATTGTAAATGGCGATGAGTGAAAGACTTACATCTGAAAGTTATTGTTGTCGTTAAACTGTGACTTGTGTGACCATGAAATGGCTCAGCGTGCATATGCAATGTACGCCTATGGAGACTCCTTGAATTTAATAGTGGAGTTGAGCTATAAGAAAAATTACCTCAATTTCATACTTACATGTATCGATATGAACATAGAGGATAACTCCATATTAAGTGATCTTGTTTTAAAGACGTTTCATATTTCTCTATTACACTCCATTACCTTGAGTTATATCTCTTTTAGATAGTCTAAATGAGCCTTTAATATACTTTGTAAAGCAATGTTTTTTTAAACAGTGAGTTCCCAGAGCTCCATTTGGGTGTGCTCAGTAATGTGATTGGGAAAGAAAAAACCTGCTAATCAGTCAGAGTCTGCCAAAACCTTGAGTTAGAGTCCACTGGAAGGAAAGCATGGTAGGCTTTTGCCAGAGAATTTTAATAGAGCTCATGAGTATTTAAAAATTAAGTATTAATATGAGACATATCTATTCTCATATTGAGCTGAATCCATTTGGGGAAAGATTGAAAACACATTTTTCTTATCATCATGAGACTTAAAGCACATGGATTTGAGTAGTGTTTTTTTCATGATTTTAGATCTGTCAAGCCCTAGTGATTCTCACAGAGCTCATATGTCTGTGTACTTATCATAATTTAACTTCCTTTCTGAGTATTTGTCTAATAAATATGTCTTTAAGCTTTTAGAGAAATGGAGGGGGACTTTAAAATTAAATGTCCTGGCCAGGTTTGGAGTTTGGGTACAACATTAGGCAAGCAAACATCTGTTCAATTCAAGAAACATTTATTGAAAAATTATGATGGCAACCATGATTGATACACTTAATATCCACTTAGGAAGTGAGAAAAGTAACTGTGTCTAGTCTATGATGTAGCATATCCAAAAAATAGAAATAATAATCATAGAGACTGAATTTGGCTAATACTCCAGGCCTCTAGACATCTATTTTCTCTTGAATGATACAATCCTAAAATAAATCCTGATTTAACTACAGGATTTGTAATCCTAATATAGGAGAATTGCCCAATTTTCCAATAAGTTCTGTGCTCTCATAACCATAGATTTTATTTGCTTGTTACTCTTTTTTTCTTTAATCTCACACATAAGTATTCTAACTAAATATTTAGTTATTTTAGGACTCAGACAAAAAATGGAAAGTGGATTTCATAAGTTTTCTATCAAGATTTTAATTCTCTGCATATTTTTATTTTCACTGGAGCCATAATCTCCAGTTATTGTAAATTTCAAAATTTAAATGGCTACTAGCATAATACTGGATTAAATATCAGTTAGTAAAATGAACTCTTATTCTAATTTTAAAACACATAGGTAAAACCTTTCTTTGCTTTATGACCAAAAATGTATTTATCATATGAATTTACTATTTATCAAAGGATTATATATAAATATTTTACTTTTACATTAATTTATATGCAAATATCCCAAAAACTATACACCATAATAAATGCATCAAATTGTTGGAAATGTATATTTTAAAAGCTCAAATAGATATCATCTGTAAAATCTTCAAAAACATAATGAGCTCTGTCCTAATCCAAAAAGCCAAAAATTTTAGTTAACCCTAAAGGTCTCCTGGCTTCAATCTGACCCGGTCATTTTTGGAGAAAGTCTGACTGTAATATTACAAGGCAAGAGAAGAAATTTTTAGTGAGTTTTCCTTGTCATTCGCAACTAATTTAACCTTTATGAACCTGTCTAATCATTTATAAAGTCAGGATAATTGTGTCTACTTTACCATGTTAGGGAAAGAATTAATTTAGATGCTTAATGTAAAAGCAAAGAGCACAATGCTGAGGACACAGTTGACTCATTAAACTTTAGTGCCTTCTTTCTCCTCTAAGGGACAAGATTGAATTAAACACACATCTATTAAGTGTTATCTATAAGCAAAACTTCTTTTTCAGAAAAGGTCTAAATACAATGCCCTAGAATGTTTAACTGTTGTTATCCAAACAGCTTTTTTCAGCCTCAGTATTCTGATCCCTAAAATGGAATCATAATAGTATACCATATGTAGTACACCATAAATATATACAACTTGTATTTATCAATTGTATAGTTCAAAGTTGCCAAAAGAGTGGATTTTAAATGTTCTCACCACAAAGAAATGACAAGTATGTGAGGTAATGAATATGTTAACTGGCCCGATTTGATCATTCTGCAATGTATACATGTATTGACATATCACATTTTACCCCATAAATATATATAATTATTATTTGCCAATTAAAAATAAAGTAAACAAAATTTTTAAAAGATTGAATAACATAGTGCTCCCAAGAATATTTGCTTCAGCTTTCTACCCTACTGCCCCCGATCATATTAAGCTTGATTCAAAACCTAGATTCTTTCTTATGCTGCTCCCCTAACTGGAATGACCTTCTCCATCCACCTCTA